CTCACCCCCCTTCACCCCCCTCCCCCAAATTAGTGCCATATGATGAGAATCATCTCCATGTGTGATTTATACACAAACACACAAACACAAAACAGTCACAGCTCGGAATGGACTGGTTGCACAAGACCCCACGTACGTTCTGACAAACACACACACACACACACACACACATTCTGGTTGAATGCGCTGCAGCGCGGCTCGCTCTCACGCTCCGTTTTCCCGCTGTTTCTGATGGTGAACCAGTCGTCGTTCACTTGTCGACTACGACTCCACTCTGACGCCGCTGCTCCACCGCACGGCTCCAAAAAAAATGTCCACGCCCTTCTGGATAAATCACGGTGGAGCTGCTGCTCCTCTTCCTCAGCCTTCCTTCCCTCTGATCCTTCTTTCCTCCCTGATCTTTATTAAAACGTCCTCTTGTTTTGTGACATTTTCCGTAGCAGATTCCACCGTCACGTGAACTCCAGGTCCATGGACTCCCACAGTTGGACCAGGACTCAAATTAAAGGCCTGCTCTTTAACATAATAGTAGGAAACGATCTGGGACACAGTGGAGGACAAAGACGTCTCACCACCGCAGCTGTAATTAGTAGCTCTCCTGCAGCTCTCTGTTGGGAAAAGCTTTTGTTTTTGTTTTTTTTTGTAAATGACTCTAGAACTGGGACTGTATAGATCACACGTGTCAAACTCAGGCCCGGGGCCCAAATCTGGCCCGCAGTGTAATTATGTTTGGCCCAGGAGATTGTATCAAATGTTTACCATAGTTCCCCCCCCCCCCCCCCCAGTATACACCCCCTATATATATATACTGGCAGGATTTGCAGTATTAGCAGTGTGTACTCTGTTATAGTACACACTCTTTGGTTTTTTGGGGGGCTTTTTTTTTTTGGTTTGTGAAAAAAAGATTGACATTAAAAAGGAACTGGAACGGTTGCAGATCTGTGTTTATATCAGCTGTCTGACAGTTTCTCTTCATTCTCCGTGGTCACAGGAAGTGCTCCAACAATCTGGAGGAAGTGTGGTGACAGACAGGACCGTGTGACCGAACCGACGTAAAACCACGTACGGACGGAACCACTTCTTGTTTTCCTGCCTCCGCAGCAAAGAAACCGACAAAAGAAAAAGGTAAAAAGAACCAAGAATGAGCTGCACCTGCAGTACAGCATTTACCTCAGAGGGGGAGCTGTTCAGATACAATACAGGAGGCCCACAAAGACCAGAGGTCCACCTGGAAGGTGTCTAAATAATAATAATGTCATCTGATCAAACGTCATCTTTCTTTCCTTTTCAAATGTTGAACATTTTCATTAATCCAGGCTCACGTCACTGACCAATCACTGACCAGTCTTTCTGTTTTTTCAAACGTTTTCATTAATCCCGCTCACGTCACTGACCAATCACTGACCATCTAGCCACATGACCACATTGTTTCAGAAGTGAAAGTTAAAAAGTGTCGTTCTCACCAACAGCCAATCAGAACAGCCGATCACTGGCCAATCATCTACTCCTGTTGACCAAACCAAACCAAAACACACAGAGTGAAGTAAATTAAAAACAGCCTCATTTATTTTTTTACATGTGTTCATCAGACTTCACAGTCTGCCAACACGTGGCTCGTGGGCTGGATGTGGACCACAGCAGCCATTTTTAGGGCCACCAGCTTAGATGATGAGTCAGCAATAAAAGAAAAGAGAATCCCTGCGTCTCACATTGTTAAAGTCCGTGTTGCGTCAACCCTTGAACACCATGTTCTCTATGTTGTCATAGATTTGAAATAAAACCCATCGTCGAGTATTGACACATCAAGTTGCTCA